TCTGCTTTGGCTGGAGGGCATCAATGCTACTCAAGTGATGCTATCATTGCTTGCCTGTAATGGAATAGCTTGACCGCTGGGAGAAGAACACTTAGTCAAATTTCGGAGTGGTCAAATCTCGCTTACTCAGCGGCGGATGTCTGGTCGTTGGCGCTGACTCAAGCGGTGCCTAGCCAGAAGCGCCTTTGCTTGACTTTCAACACTTAGTTTTTCTAGGCCAGTAACATCACTTTAAAAGGCTGAAAATGTAAATAATCTCAACAAACAAACTCTGGATCATATCAAGCGAAACAAATCAATAAAGCATGCCATAAATCAAATATTTTGATGGTTTTCACATAAAAATTCAAGTAATACATATTTTTGTCAAGCGAAAAATATGTTGCTATTTGGAGTTATCAGTATCCACTAGACCCATCAACTCCATGTGCAGCAAATTCAGACATGTGTTGTTGCTTTGATGTTCCGACTGTGAATGAGAGACACGTTTCTGCTTTTCACGAGCACAGTCACCCCAAACAAAGTTAGATAACTTCGAGAACTTAGGCATACCTCTGAGAAATCCCCGTTTGGTCATCTTCAAGGGATCGAACATACTTTCAACCCTTTGGAGTTTTGTTTCATTGACTTCAGCGGTCCATTCGAAAGTATTCTCCAAGGTTCTCCATGGATCCTTGGCTTTCTTGCAGTTTGAAATGACACGAAACTGAACTTCAGCGACAGAATATGGCATTTACAGCTTTAACATTTCCACTTGCTACAATTTGTATTCAGTTGTCCATTCATTTTTCAGCTTCAGAACAATGGTTGGGGGGGTCATTATGAGTTTATCCACGCATTACTTCGGTTAAAAGAGTCCAACCAAGCTCTACAGCTTCCCAAGTTTTATCTCGAAGGGTTAATAGGTAAGCCTCTTGTTTTTCCAATAGTTGTAGTTGTTCCCATCAAAAACTGGTAGACGAATGGACGAGGTTATTTCATGACTCATCTTGAACCACAGACGGACTTAATCAGGGTATTGAGCACGCTGCTCTAATACCAAATGTTGGAAATCAGGGGGCCAAACGAGTAAGAGGTTCAACGCCTCCGAGTAACTTGCACAGCGGAACTGAGAAACATTTCAACAAAACATAGCTTTACAGCCTAGTTGTCGCATGGTCGAAACTGTAGCGTGTGTTCATGCACAGATCGATGGCTAAATAAGTGCAACAAAGAAAACAACACACAAAGTTTGTTTACCCAATTTGGTTTTCCAACCTACGTTTGGGAGATTCCAATCCATGAGTCTTAACTAAACCAAACACTTAGTTTACACCATACAAAACTACTCAACTTATCTTCTACCCAAACTCCATTTAGTTTTTATAAACTCTCATGGACTGACTATTGCTACTCTGTAACGACTCCAGCAAACCTATGACCAAGCTAAGAATAATGTTGCATGTCGGATGGTTATCTCTTTCGGCTTTGACTCCAAGAATCATTTTTCTCGTCTCTTCAAACCTCCATGGATGAACCTCTCAATACTCTATCTGGTTGAGAGAATAATAAACTCAAAGTTCTTGTGTTTCATCCATGTAAACACATCCATACACAGAAACAAAACACAAATCCAACACACAAGAGACAAAGTTGACTATGTGTAGTTTTGTGATAGCAAGTACGAGGCATTAAATGTCTTCCAAGATGAGTGCAATACGCAAATATCATCTCCTACACGTCCTCTAATGGGACAAGTCGATTTGTCAACATTTAATGTTTAGCATGATTGACTTGCCCAAAGGTGGCTACTTGGCCACGGTATCTGTCTGTGTTATAATAACCAAAATTGTGTCACACAGCTGCTACGACAACCTGACTGATGCTTGCTTATTGCCAAAAACAACAAAAAGAAGTTTGTCTTATTTGCATAATATAAAAAATTCAGCCCGTCTGTGTGAACCACGGCCGAGGCGAGAGATCTAATTCAAAACTAGTCCCATCCAGGGATGACAATGAGTCGGATATTGATCGGATCTTGTCAGACCCGAGACCCGATCCGAATACATATTATTTGATCCAAGACCTAAATCAGACCAGGCTATACTCGGACCGGAGCATATTTGGATCCGATCCGAATATTATCTAATAAGACACGCAAATTTTTTTAATAATTGTTAAATTTTAATTAAAAATTGGATCCGAACCCAGACTCGACATATATTAAAATGTATGTATTTTATTTTAAAATATTATAATTAAATAATGAAAATAAATTAAAGTAAAAATATTTCCTCGACCCCTTTCGTTGGGGAGACAGTATTTAAGGTACTAATGTTTAAATAGTTAATAATAGTGAATTATGATATTATTTTATTATTTTTTATGTAATTAATAATATTGAGAGTTTTAAAATAAATTTAATATATATGATAAAACATCTATGTAATATGAATATCATTTTTTAAAAAAAAACTATATAATACAAGTAAATAAAAAATATGTTTATTCATTTATAATTAACATAAACTAATTTTATAAAAGATGTGGAGTTTTAAATACCGATAAAAATTTATCTATTTTTTTTTAAGAGAGATATAAATATAGAGATTTTGAGTGGATTTGTATAATGTTATATGTTATATAGTTAATTAAATTGATTTATATTTTCTAATTATGTTGTGATTTAGGATGTTTGTTTGGGGGTTTAGATTTTGAATTGGAATTTGAATAGTAAAAATTTGAATTATAATAGTTGTATGATGTTATATAAATAAGTATTGATATGATATTTTGAATGTAAAATTAATTTTTAAATAATAATATTAAAAAAAATAAAAATAGATAGTTGATTTGATATTTTTGGAGAAAAAAATATTTTCTCTATCCGCTTATAAGGATCACATTTTACCTTGTGTGTCATTGTATTTAATATTAAAAATATTATTATATTTGTATAATTTTTTGTACAAATGTAATTCTATTAGTATTATAAAACACTAATGAAAGTATTTTTGAAAAAATTTCTTAATTTGTACTAAATTTTGATATAATAATTAATATTCAAATATCAACACGCAAAAAGGAAATGGGACCCTTAGAACTGGATGGATATAGTAATAAATAGTAGAAATTCAAGGAAATATTGCAAACGAACACATCATTAGTAAATTTTACCCAAAAGAAAAATGTATCAATTGTTATGGGACAAACAAAAATAAATGTATCAATTGATATGAGACAGGGGAGTACTTTTAAATATAATTTATATTGTTAAAAATTATTTTTTAATATATTAGATTGATATATTATTAATAGATAATCAGGTTCGGGTAAAATAAAGGTCTAGGATCTACCTTTGGACTCGAGACCCGAATCGAATCCGATAAAAATACACAATATTCAACTCAAACTTGATCCGATATCCAAATAATTAAATTCGATCTCAAATAAATGGGTCTGATATCGAATCTATGGACCCACTACCATCTCTAGTCCCATCATATTATATTGTGAAAAATAATTGGGATAAAGAAGAAATGTTAAGGATAAACCAAAAGAAACAACTAACTTTGTTTATATTGAGGATGTGTTTAGATCTTTTATCTGTTAATTGACTCAATTAGCTGTTAGCTGATTTGACTAGCTGACTCAATTAGCGGTTGTATTAAAGTGTTTGGTAAAACAATTGTTTCGTATTAGCTGTTAATACGTAAAATGACAATCGATGACATTTATATTGAATTTTAAAAATATTCAACTATATTATTTGGAGTTTTAGACTTTTGATAATTTGTATTATTGAGTATCGAAAATTGTGAAGTTATTATTAATACATTTATTTTTCTATTTTTAAATATATTTGTAAAAAAATACTTCATCCACCCAATTTCCAAGTAGTATTTTTATTATTTTAGTCCGTCTTATTTCAAAGTATTCATTTTCTTTTTTAGCAAAAGTAATCATATACTAATACCAAAATACCCTTAACTTTTATTTAAATTACAAACATACCATTACACATACACTACTTTTTACATAAAGTCAAGGACCAAAATTGTCAAATTTTCTTATACACTTTTTCTAATTAATAAAATACTAGTATTTCTTAATTTACTACAAAATCCCAAAGAACCTCTCTCAACAGGGACGGAGGGAAGTAATATGTTTTTACTAAATATAATAATTTTTTGTATTGAAAATAATATTAAAAAATATTAAAGAACAAAATTTTAATATATATATATTTAATTATGTTAATTATTAATTAATTTATTATTACAATTTTAAATAAATATAATCAATTTTATTTATTTTTAATATAAGATTTATATAATAAATATATATAAAAATAAATTAATAAAATTAAATTTTATCTTTAATTTAATAAACTAATATATTTCAAAAAGAAAATAAAAAATATATAAATAATTTAATAATTGTAATTAATTGAAAGTTAAAAATGAGATTTTAATTATCAAAAATACAAATTTATCTAACTAATAAATAAAAACTGTGTAAGAAAAATAATTAATATTTAAGGGCAATTATGAAATAAATATACTTGAACTGCTATTTTGGAACGCTAGGGAGGATATGTGTTTGGAGAGCCTAAAAAAACTAATTTTTAAAATATTGTATTTTCTGTCTTTTTAGAACAGTAATTTCACTTTAATTTCTTTTATTTTTTATTTGATCTTGAAATAAATAATTTATCTTACACATAGTAATACTAATATACTTATCATTGTAGTATTTATTAATTATATTAATATATATTTTTAATTAACTTTTAAATTTACTTTTATAAATTTGATATCAATGAAGTAATTTTCATGTGATTATTAGTATTATTTAGTTTAGAAGATCTGTTGCTAATTTGTTCAATAGTTTATCCAGCACCACACAATTTCGAATCTTTTATTGAGAATAGAGTTGTTTACGAACCGAGTTAAATTTTAAGTGTTCGTTAAAACAATAAAGCTAAGAACAACGAACTTATATGATCCATACTTTCAGCATCACAACTTATAAACCATCCAATTTCCGATCCAATTTCCGTTGGTAATAAAACTGTCTTTCATCTTCGTAGACTTTTTAGGATCTGCGTCGCATTCGTCGAAAGCTTTTTCTCGCATCGTGAATTCCTTTTGCAGTCGATCGCCTCTTGTCGTCGCCTTTTGAAACTTGAGCGAACTTATAGTCGAGAGCATATAAGCTCGCCCCCCGGCTTTGTACCTCTCAAGAGTTCCTATCCTTCGTAGAATCTCGAGCATCTCTGCCAAAGCCCCACGTAATCGATCATCACTATCAGCGAAAAATAAGGATCCGAGAAATTGTACTGCTCTCGAGATAATAGCCTTCGCATTTGACGCATTGCCCTGCTCTAGATACGATAGAGCAAGTTCGATCCGATATGTGCAAATAAGGCAGGCAATGCATGCATAAATCTCATTTCCATGTCGAGATTCTTCGCCTCGCAAGAATGTCGCCGTCGGCCTGTCCAGCTCGAGTAAGGGGCACTTTACCACCACCGAGAGTTGTGTCATCACATCGTTGTATAAACACACGATATTCACCACTGGCGCCTTTCCGAATCCGTCAATGTTTTCACAAAACAGCCGAGGGATCGCTATACGGACAACGAATTCCTTTTTCTGATCAGCGTAGAAGTCCCCGGCGCATATTGTAACTTGACTGTATTTACTGGACTTGACTCTTTTGAACCCACCGGTGTACGCCTCTTTGATTTCTATCGGCGAGGTCACCGCTACAGTTACGCAAAGATCTTGCGCGACGACGCTGAAAAGACCTCCAATGCAGCTAGAAATCGCTCCAAGAACTGCTCCATACGACTCGAGGAACGTATAGCTGCCCTTCGATTTATCTGAGGTCGCGTGCATTGCGACAGCGTCATGGTCCCGACCAATGCCGAAGGCGTGAATAGGGAACCGGAGATGTTTTTCGCGAATCGGCGACGCTTGCGGCGTGTGGGATAAAAGTATAATACTCGCATACGGATTGTCGTTGTATGGCCTTTCCTCGAGAACTCGACTCCCCTGTTTCAACCCCTCGGCAGGATTCCCCGAGCCACCTTCGACAACGATCGACTCGGCTGCTGCCGCCGCAAGTTTTCGCCCGTGGTTATTCATTGCGCGCAACGGTAAGATTCGTCGAGCTTGGTTCGCGAACGACACGATCGAAAGCCGGTCGAAGGGGCCTAAGTTCTGTATAACGAAATGAAGTGCTTCTTTAATGTGAGCCATGTACGAGTCGTCGAAGCTGCATTAGCTCGAATTGAGCACTATAACGAGGTCGATCGGAGCATGCCGGAGATCTTGCCAGAATTCAGACGTCGGCGGCGCGATTAGTTTAATTAAAACGTAGAGTGAAGAGATGGAAGCGGAAGCATCGAGAGCAAGGTAGTGTGGAATCGCCTCCATTCTGACCTGCTGTGCGTCGCCGCCGTCGTTCGATTTGTCGTCTACGGCCGGCAGAGAATCGTGGCCATTGTACGGATGTAGTGAGGGGTGGGGTTCTTGTTGGGTAGAAGATGCCATGGAAACTGAAGTAGATCTGTGTATGGAGAAATATGTTTAGAAATTGGATTGGATGTGAAGAAATGGATCGATTGCAGATTATGAAACTCTGATTTGAGTGGTGGAGGAGAGACTGATCATTCACGTAATTTGTAAAGATCTGCAACAGGTGGTGTATAGTAATATCAGCAAAGGAATCTTTAGAGTAGTTATAGGAGATGGAAATAACTGCAAGCAGTTCAAGAATGCAGTTTGAGCGGAGCGATTATCGATGACTAAGTAAAATAATAATATAATAATAATAGTTAAAAGAGTTGAAAACGAAATTAAAGGTTGCGATTCAGGGCCGGGCCGGGCCGGCACAGTCCATTTTTAATATATGTAGGGCAAGTTGGGGCTGATTTAGAATTGCGTGAAAATTTTAGCCTAAAAACAGTCCGGTATGCATCCTTATTGGATTGGGTCAGTCCAATTTTCGAAAAAACAATTTTAGCTTAAATATACTTATGTAAATTTGTTATTAAAAAAAATAATAGTTCTTTTGTTTCAAAATAATTGATTTTTTTTTTCTATTTTAGTTAACTTGACATATTTCTATATAATATATAACAACGTACATTTACGATCCACTCAAAATTTACATCTTTTATTACTATTTATATATAAAATTTCTCATCTTTTTATAAAAATTCATTTATGTTAATTAAATCAATATATTCTTTATTTATTTATATTATATAAAATTTTAATATATATTAAATGATATCATATTATATATATTTTATTCATTTAAATACCCGAAGGTCTCTATAGGCGTATCGGAATGTCAAATCCTCCGTAATCGGCAACATTCTTTAGAGGCTGACTTACGGTAATGATTCAGTACATCAGTTGGAGATTACAATGTCTTCACTCCAAATTTTGAAGGTGAATGAGTTGTCGATGGAAGAGCATGATATGGCCCTGCTCCAGGAGCTCAATGTCTTGCCCTAAGAGAGGTTGCAGGCTATTGAATGCAATCGATATTAAACAAGAAAGCCGAATCAACTTTCCGAAAGCACATGAGGCCTCAAACCTTCCAGGAAATGTTACATGGTCTGGAAGGTCGTCCTCCCGGAGGGTCCCAAACATGCAAGGTTGGGAAACGGTCCTTCACATGAGAAGGACCGTTTATCATATCGGCTTAGTCATCTAGCGGTGCATACAAGCCTATGGAATCCGAAGCGGAAGAGTTGAAGACGTTTATTAATGGAAAATATTTAAAGAGATTTTATCCCTCTCTATGGGAACTGGAAATAGAGGAACCTGCTTGATCAGAGGTTTTTAAGTTATATATCTTTAGAGCACAATCGAGACATAAAAGCAGTATATTGGAGAAAATAGAAGAGCGTGTATCAAACTAATCAAAATCAAAACAGAAAATTGTGTCACGCCGGTCAATGCCTTCGTACACGGATTACCCTACACAATTATAGACCAATAAAAATAACAAAAGGCATGTCAAAAATGAATCATGCAAAAAGAAAGCCACAACGAGACACTATACTATTCGATAGGAAGGTCATCCAAATCCATATCGCAGTTAACACTGACATCCATAAACCCAGCATTAGAAAAAGAAATGCCCTCGGCTAATGACGCGGACACTGCATCGGCAGTGCCCGATTCCCTTATAGTAGTGACCGACATCGGAGAGCATGGGTCGGTTGGCTTCGGCTGTTCAAAACACAAAGAGGTCCCTTGGGCAATCATATCAGGCCAGGCCAGCCGCAGCTCTTCCAATCCTCTCTCGGCTTGCTGAAAATTCTTTTCGAAGATGATTTTTTATCCGTGAAGCCCCGAAAAGGGCTCATTCAAGGCCCGCGCCTGATCATATAGTTCCATCCTCCGGGAGGCCCTGGCGGCAAGGCTTGCCGCCACCTGATCCAATTCTGATGAAATCTCCTTCAACCGTTCTTGAATTCAACTCATTTCAGCCCACAAAGCCACCTCCTCAGCAAGCAGACCTTCTACATAGGCCAGAGAAGACCTGAAAAAGATCTGAATTCAAAGATTAAGAAAACTGTAGGCTTTGGCATCTAAAGAGAAATCTGCATATGGGTGTATTCTTTTTTCCTTGTTGGTTCCTGCTAATTCCTTGCAGCAGCTCTAAAGTTCATTTTAGATTCCCATTGATTCCCTTTCTAAGTTCGATACGGGACGTATGATTCTAATTTCCAGATAAGCTGGGCGTATATAGTTATGATTCTTTCCTTCTTATTGCTTTCATCTTCAGCCCGTTGTTTCTCATCTAAGAAATTCCGGACACAGGTTTCTTTTTCCATCTCCATGGCCGCCAGCTCTTTGAGGCTACTGTCGTTTACGCTGCAAAGGCCCTGCAACATCTTCAGTCGTCCGGAGACTTCATCCGAACGATCAGCAAGATCCTCCAGCCGCCTTCTACTGTCCAAATACGGGGGCATAAATACAACTGTAGCAAAAACAGATACCTGCAAGGGGTCCAAAATTCCCGAATTCTCCGGTAGAGAGAATTGATAAGCAGAAAAGGGATCCCGATCCAGCCGAAAAAAACTGCAGGAGAAGGATGTTCCGGTAAGATCCTGAGAGAAGTATGCCTCCACATTGGTAGGGATCACCACCGGAACATAAGGGATAGCCCGAGATGTGGAAATCCTCATATTGTCAAGTCCAGCTAGAGCAGGGAAATGAGTCTGGGCCGACTCAATCGCCGCCTCCAAGATAAGCTATTCGCAAGAGACCTGCACGGTTACACCAATCAGAGCGGGTTGCGAAAGTAAACCCGTAATGTACACCAGCTAGTACCTAGATAGAAGACGGTGAAGAAACGAATCGTTCGCTGACCTGGCAATAGGCTCAGGGATAGTCTCTGTCTAGAGGTTCTACATGATAGTGAATATCATAATATATCACATGATCAGATATTCAAATGGGGAAAGAAATTATACCTGAAGAGAAGATGGTGACAAAGTCGATTCCCTTACTGAGGCAACAACAGATAATGGAGTAGCCTTTTTCGGATGAACCTGCACAATCATAAAGGAAATAAGAACTTGTCTTATGAATGAGAATTTGTCTAAGAGTTACCTGACGTGAGGGCGGCGACGAAGTTGGCCGTTTAATAGGCCGTTTGGGTTGCGACTTAGGCACGGTGGGCTTCGAGATTAACCTTCGGGAGTGCCGAACTGTGGAGAATGGTACGGATCGAACACTCGACATAGAAGGTGTGCCTGTGATACAAGGAAGAGAAATTACATAACTAGACATCACCAAATTGCATGGTAAATAAGAAAGATTACCTATAGCTGAAGGCGCGGGTATCTCTTCTACACCCTCGGAAACATCATCGGGCGAATCCTCATCACTCGAACGTTCGTCTACTAGTTTAACTAAGGACAACCGTAAAGCGGCTAGGTCCACGTGGGTAAGAAAGTCCGTCCACTATCAATAAAAGGAAGGTGTAAGGTACTTGGGTCGAGAGAATGAGGCGAATGCGGGAGATTTTCCAAATCACAGACGTAAATGCGCCAGGCATCAACAGTGGCTAACCCCAAGTTTTGACCCGGACTAAGAGGGGGCTGCAATAAAAAGCCGAACAGAGGGATTCCTTGAGCCAATCCGAATTGACGGGCGCAATATTGGGTTTGGTAAACTTCTCCAAGTAACGGATTATATCGGGAACACACGGCTAAGCCTCCGATCAAGACCTGGGGGATCAAGCACTTATTCTAGCATACCATACGGAGGGTGCTGAGAACTACATAGATGTTAGCACTGGGAACTGCGGGGTGGCCAGCCAGAGGACAAAAGTCACTTGGAGATTTATCAGTCTCATGTAAGAGAGAATATGTCACGTACCGGAGATTACCTTTGAAAGAAGGGTAATGTATAAGGTGTGGACCTAGAACTGTGAGTTGATCAGATAGGAGGTCAGGACGTAGACTGATTATACTAGGAAAATATAGCCGCGCCATAGCTCGAGGAACCATAAGGGACCGGCCCCTACCGGCTCACGAGAAGTCAAAACGGAGAGTTTTCCTAGGAAATCATTTATACCGCAGTATCATAGACCCAAAAAATACGAAGTCAAATCTAATAATTGCACCAGAAATAACGGTGTTCAGTATCGGTTCAGCTTCCTGGACTAATACCTCCGACGCACAATATGCAAAGTACTTGCTAAACCAATACAAGAGAAAGGCATTATTCTCGGAGGGCTCAACGGCACAAGAAAGTTTGTTCGAGGCAAGAAATTGGCCATAGTAGTATTGTTACCATACGCTACATGGATAGGCAAACGATCTGACCTACATGACGGAGTTAGGGGAGGCTTTACCCCTTTTGAAGGTAACCCCGAGATTGCTACTACGTCCAATACGGTGAAGTCAGAATTCCAAATGGGAATACAAAGACGTTAATGTTCGGACTCCAGAAAAACACAAAAGAGCCTTAATCATAAGATTGTCAGGGGGGATGAAATCAGCACATAAGAATAACATATCCCGAATACTCCAAGTATGCCAACATGCATCAAAGAAAGGACCGAGTCTATCCATCCATGATTTGAACTCTAAAGCATTGCTAGGAAAACGAAATATTTGAGAATGGAAACTAGTAAGATTAAACCAGGGTTGAGCCAACAAGAGTTTACCACATCCGAGGATGTCATGGGAACCCTCCGGTACATCTCAATCACCCCTCGTGAACGGCTCGAGCACCGGCCGACCGCGGTCGGACACTATAGTCGCCTCCCCTGAGAGCACCACAGAGATATGGCAGGTTTGGGTCCCTGTTGGGATATGAAGTCTGATTCTAAAATTTTGGGATATGATTTGAATATGATTTAAATATTATTTGGATATTATATCATAGATTTTAGAGATTTAATTTGGATATTATTGGCATAGGCTTAGACTATAAATAGACATGTATTTTCACTTTAACATATGTTCTGCGTATATTATAATAAAATTTCTGGCTTGATAGCGCCCTCAGACGTAGATCATTCTAATCAAACTGGGTAACCAAATTCTTGTATTCTTGTATTTTTATTTGTCTCTCTTCTTGATTTCTTGATATTTCCGCAACACTCCCGTGGTGCACGCGCTTCCAAGAATCAAGTCGCCGTTAAGAGTCGCCAAGAATTTTCGAATCGTGCCGTAGACCGCCGAAAACTACTGAAACCGACGCCAGAAAGTACCAAATCTCCACTGGGGGTTGAATACTACAATTGTCGTGGCTTGGTCTAGGGGTGCTCGGGGGTTCTGGGTCGTCGGCGGAAAGAAGGGAAGGAGAATGACGGTAGGTGATTCGTGGGTAAAGGAGGAACAAGGGTTTCGGCCGATCGGTGAGAGAAATTGAGATTTATGAAACGGCGGTGAAAGAACTTGAAGGAAAGTAAGTTGATATAATGCTCGCGCGAAGCAGTTGATTTGAAAATATCCAATCCAAACAAAATTAGTCGGTCTACAAGTAAAACTTTTGTCCTGAATAATTGTGGGGGGCATGTGTAGTCCATTATAAATCAAATTGGTGTCGGCCTAGTTCAAAAATAGTCCAATGGGTGATGTATGGCCAATCTAGTCCAAAGCCATAGCTAGCCCAAGAGTTTGTGCGATGTGGGCTCGTGGACCTGTCTGGCCCAATGGCTCAGCCGACTTGGAGCTAAGCGGATGAAGGAGAGGCTGGAGAAGTTTGAAACGGTTGGAGAAATATTGGGGACAATATTTTATCCAAGATTAACAACATCTAAGATAAGAGAAAAAGAAGACGCAAATCATCATCTTCTTTTTCTTTCTCTGCACTTATTTGTTGTATTACTTTTTCCAATTTTAGTTTCTTGCTTGGACTATTAGTTTTAGCTTCTAGTTACTTTGATTAGTAGATTATTCGGTATCCGAGATAGCTCGGATCTTTTCTTGAAGAGATCGGAAAATCATTCGAACAAATCGATTTGGGCAGGCTTCCGATTAAGCCACCGGAAGTGATTTTTTTACGACAACAATTTCATTTGAATTTCGACATAATATATATGAATACACTGACTAAAATCATCAATATTATGCTCAGCAATGGCAAGCATACTCAGATGCTTTAAATCCTTCCATAGATCATCTATAATCCAGACTGCTTCCAATGAAAAAAGTTGCTTTATTATTCTGTAAAAGGAAAGCTTGCAGGGATGACAGCAATGGCTGCATAGCAAAAGCCATAGACAATCGAAAAACAAGAACAGGACACAAAAATGTTAAAACCAAAAGCTAAGAACAACGAACTTATATGATCCATACTTTCAGCATCAGTCCTTAGAAACCATCCAAACTTCGATGCCATTTCCATCGGTAAAACTAATCTTTTATCTTTGTAGCCTTTTTAGGAGCTTCGTCGCTTTCGTCGAAAGCTTTTTCTCGCGTCGTGAATGCTCTGGGCAGTCGATCACCTCTTGTCGTCGCCCTTTGAAACTTTAGCGAACTTATAGTCGAGAGCATATAAGCTCGTCCCCCGGCTTTGTACCCCTCCAGACTTCCTATTCTTCGTTGAATCTCGCGCATCTCTGCCAAAGCCCAACGGCATCGATCATCACGATCAGCGCAAGATAAGGATCCGACGAAATGTATCATTTTTGAAATAATTTCCTTCGCATTCGATACATTTCCCTCCTCTAGATACAATCGAGCAAGTTCGATCTGATATGCGCAAATAAGGCAGGCAAAGATTGCATGAATCTCATTTCCATGTCGAAATTCTTCACCCGGCAAGAACATCTTCGGCCAGTCCATGTCGAGTAAGGGGCCACATACGAACACCGGTAGTTGTGTCACCAAATCTACGTATATACACATGATATGCACCAGCGGCGTCTTTCCAAATCCATCGATGCATTCCAAAGACAGCTGAGGGATCGCTATACGGACGACGAATTCCTTTTTCTGATCAGCGAAGAAGCCCCCGGTGCATACTGTAACTTCATTTTTTTTACCGGACTTGATTACTTTGAACCCTCCGGTGTACACCTCTTCGATTTCTACTGGCGAGGTCACCGCTAAGTTTATGTCAAGATTTTCCGCGACGGCACTGAGAAGACCTCCGATACAGCTAGAAATCGCTCCAAGAACTGTTCCATACGACTCGAGGAACGTATAGCTGCCCTTGGATATATCCGACGCCGCGTGCATTGCGACAGCATCATGGTCCCTGCCAATGCCAAAGGCGTGAATAGGAAACTGGAAATGTTGGTCGCGAATAGGCGACGCTTGCGGCGTGTGGGATAAAAGTATAATACTCGCAACCGGTTTGTTGGTGCGCCTTTCGTTAAGAACTCGAATCCCCTGTTTCAACCCCTTGGCGAGATTCGCCGAGCCACCTTCGACCATGATCGACTCAGCTGCTGCCGCAGCATGTTCTCGCCCACAGCCATTCATTGCGCGCAACGGTAAAATTCGCCGAGCTTCATTCGCGAACGACACGATCGAAAGCCGGTCGAAGGGGCCTAAGTTCTGTATAACGAAATGAAGTGCTTCTTTAATGTGAGCCATGTACGAGTCGTCGAAGCTGCATTCGCTCGAATCGAGCACTATAACGAGGTCGATCGGAGCATGCCGGAGCTCTTGCCGGAATTCAGACATCGGCGGGGCAACCAGTTGAACTAAAACGTAGAGTGAATAGATGGAAGTGTAAGTATCGAGAGCAAGGCAGTGTGGAGTCCCCTCGATTCTGACCTGCCGTGCGTCTTCTACCGCCGCCGGCATTGGATCGTCGTCATTGTACTGATGTAGTGAGGGGTGGGGTTCTTGTTGGGTAGAAGATGCCATGGAAACTGAAGTAGATCTGTGTATGGAGAAATTTGTTTTGAAATTGGATTGCATGTGAAGAAATGGATCGATTGCAGATTATGAAACTCTGATTTGAGAGACTGATCATTCAAGTAATTTTGTAAAGATCTGCAACAGATCGTATACAGTAATATCTGCAAATGAAGCTTGAGAGTGGTTATGGGAGATGGAAATAACTGCAACCAGTTCAAGAATGCAGTTTGAGAGGAGCGATGATTATGGCTAAATAAGTGATAATAATAATAATAATAATAATAATAATAATTAATAAAAAAATAAAAATGGTTAAAAGAGCTGTAAACAAAATTAAAGGTTGCCGATTCTGGGCCAGGCCGGTTTCTTCGTGCCGGGCCGGAACAGTCTATTGTCAATATTGTCGGGCAGGTTCGGTATGGTTATAAATTGGACTTAAAAATCTTAGCCCGAAAATGGTCTGATATCAATCCTTGTTGATTGGATCAGTACATTTTCAAATTTTTTTTTTAATTTTAAATATATTTTAGGGAAATTTTTTTAGTTCCTGACCTTTATTATTTTAGTCTGGTAAGTGAAGTCAGTCGCAAACGAGTCTCATAAATGGAAAATTTTTGTTGTTTTAGTCCTCCGGCGCCGGAGACGCCTCACGTAGATTTTATTATTTTTTTTAATTTTTTTTTCAATTGGACCAAATAAAAAAAATAAAAAATAAAAAATAAAATTACAAAAAAATTGAAATAAAATAAAATAAATAAATAAATAAAATCCAAGACGGACATGTGGTCTGCGACGAGCGCTCTATTTACAGGACTAAAATGATAAGAGGTTAAGTGAGAGGACTAAAAAAACACTTTACCTTATATTTTATGTAACTTTTTAATTAAAAAATAAATTATATTTCTTTGGTTCTAAATTAATTGAATTATTCTTTTCTATTTCACTTAACTTACATATTTCTATATTTGATAAAATCATTAATTCATAATATATTTAATAAATATAAATCAATTTAATTAATGAATTGTTGGAATAAATATCGTTAGTTTGCCATAAATGTTTGTTTGCTTTATGCACTTCCTGGCTTTTAAGTGTTAATTGGTAGTTGAGAGTAAATATTGTCGCTGAAAAGTCGCGACTCAATTAATGTCGCTTCCGTGATGTCAATGCAGAATTAATGCTCGCTAATAAATTTTTACGCTCATAAATGTGTCGGGACCTCACTTGCGCAGACTTCCTAGGGTCACTCATCCTCAAATTACTCTAGATCAAACAAGTTTAATTATAAAGTTCTTTCAATAGGGTTCCCGAAAGGATATGTACACATTATTGATATGAGTAGTCTGTCTAATTCATTTAACCTCTAATCAACTTTGAATGACCTAATATCGGCTCATCCACACATAGAAATTGGCTAAGCAACGACCCAACTCCGAGATATCAAATATAGATTTTGGCATTTAGGAAATTACACAGTTAATATTTATTTAAATAAAATAAAATAAAATATTTATTCAAAAAGATTAATTAACTAATTTGTCAAAATTAAATACTACATTCGTCCGCCGTCAATCTATACATTTGCATTTTACGTTATTGTTTTTAACATTAAAAATATTCTTACATTTGTATAATTTTTTTGTACAAACGTCATTATAATAGTATTATAAGATACTAATAGAAGTATTTTTGGTATTTTCCCTTAATTTATATTATATTTTGATATAATATTAATATTCAAATATTAAAATGCAAAAAGTAAATGGATAGATTGACAGTAGATGGAGGTAATATTTAAATTATACTTTCTTATAATATTTAATTCAGCTAAAATTAAATATTTGAATAACACATAAATAATGCCTAAAACTATCATTTAAGAAATACATCAATTAAATTAATTTATACACCAAAATAACTATAAAATATACCTAAAAACTAATCAATCAATATTTTACACACAAGATGAAATAAATACAATTATTAAAATAAAATAACATAAATTATATCAAAACTAAGACAATAATAAGTATTTAAATAAATAAATAAAGGCTATAAATATATTAAATCAAAAATTATCAATGACAATGTCGATATACAAAAGATAGACACGTAAACATACTTGTTGGTTTAACCATATTTATTGCTAAATATTGTCTCACATTGCTAAATGTGTGGAAACTTCCCTATTATACAAGGGTGAAAGGCCGCTCCACCTATTACAAATTGGTTTTAGGTTGGATGCTCGGATCTCTTCTTAATATTTACTATGGCAAGGTTAAATTTTTATATAACGTTGGAACTCGTTAAATTTTTATATAACGTTGGAACTTGCAGTTGTTATTCGAAAGTGCGTACTGGGGTAAACCTCGGCCGAATCTAATACCTTGCAAACTAGGCTCGACAAGGCAAGTTAAACTAAACGAACTATGTGCGATATGTGGACCTAGAGGCGTAATCCAATTATGTGCTTATTTGACCAAACACGATTTTTAAAAAAATAAATAAAAATAGAAATTTTTACTGTTTAGGATAAATAAAAATAGAAAATATTGAATTTTTTTACTAAAAAAAAAATATAAATTTAGATGACAACTGAAAAACGAAAGTACAAATAATTGAATATCCTAGGGAGTACTGGTTTTGCTTTCATATGCTTGGCTCTACATACTACAATTCCTCTTTAGGCATAATGAAGTTTATGCAATTCTAGTCTAACCAAATTCATGCATTCTATGTATGTGTTTGGAAAGGAAATTCGGACTAGGTAATGAGAATCACCACAAGACAATCAAATTATATATTGGGTTTTAGACAAAATTTTGGAAAATCATATCCCTAAACACTTACTTTTAGCGCAAAGTTTAAAAAAATAGTAATATTTTAATTGTAGTAGATAGTTAAAAGTAATGTAAAAATATTTTTATCCTTACTTTTTAGAGTAAAAAGTAAAGATGTTATGGTAAAATAGGAGTATCTGTAGAGAAAAAAAATTGGAATATTTAATGAATGATTACTTTGTAATTTGACCACCTAAAATAGAAATACATATACCGGATAGAGTATTAAAATAATAATATTAATAAAATATAAATTATCATTAATAATATAAGGAATAATCATTATTATTATTTTAAAATCAAAATTTTAATTATTTGGACACTTTTGTCATTTTGAATTTTAAATTTTAAATAGTACACAGAAAAAAACTGGACATGTCAGTCAATTCAGCCCGTCTATGTGAACCACAACCAAAGCAACACATCTAATTCAAAACCAATCTCATCTAGGAATGACAATAGGTCGGGTCCATTCGAATCCGAGACCCGATCCCAATGCACATTTTTGCACCTGAGACCTGAATTGAATTTGATTATACAGGAACCCGAGCATACCTGAATCGACCCGAACAATACGCGATAAGATTTAATGGACCCGTTAGGCTCACAATTTTTTTTTATAATTCTTAAATTTTAATTTAAAATTAGATCCGAATCCGGATCCGGACCCGACATATATTGAAATGTATATATTTTATTCAAAAATATTATAATTAAATTATAAAAAATAATTAAATTAAACTAAAACTATTCTTAATATAATTTATGTTGTTAAAATTTATTCTACATATATTATAATATATTAATCAAGTTCGGATATGGTCTACCCTTTGACCCGAGATCCGATTCAATTCTAATAAAAATACACAATATCCGATCCAGATCCAATTCGATACTCGAATAACTAGACCCGATTCCAAATAAATAAATTGGATCTGGATCGAATTTCGAGTCTACTCGAATCCATTGCCGTCCCTTTCTATAATACTATGTCGTGAAAAACAATTGGGGTAAAGAAGAAGTTTTAGGGATGAAGCAAACCAAAAGAAGCAAGTAACTTCGCCTAGAACCATTTCACCCATTTGGCACCTTTTTATTTTGGACAGTGGCGGAATCTTGACTTCGCTTAGAACCATTTCACCCATTTGGCACCTTTTTATTTTGGACAGTGGCGGAATCAGGATTTGACGAGAACAGATCGGATTATTTGTCTCATTAATATTCTCTATCACCCTATCTTCACACACATAATATGTATGCATATACATGTGTATATACAGAGGGCGGATGGGCAACGGGGGCTCCGGCTCCCCTCCCCCCACTCCACTCCTTTTAATTTTTAATATTTTGTTTTTATTTTATAATATATAATATAAAAAATTAAAAAAAAAATTAAAAAAATTGTTAAAAATTGATAGAGTATTTATGTGAAAATTTAAATTTTGAATAATAAAAAAATTTATATCATAATATTTGTTTGATGTTATAAAAAAAGATATGAACAAAAAAGTAATAAACAATAATTAAAAAAAAAATCTTCAAAAAATTCTCAACCAAATACATAGGAGAAGATATTTTTAAGAGCTATTTTTTTTTTTTAATAAATGTTTTTACTATTTATCAATTTCATATAATACAAAATTCATCCGTAATATGCAGTTGTCACTGCAGATTGATATTTGAAAGATTTTCGAAATATGATAATTTCATTGATAAAATTATTGGATAACAAATAAATGATGATTGTTTCAAAATTTGAAAAATTGGCCCCCTCTCATCCCGTCTGGTTCCGGTATATATTAATATACACTATGTGAGATATGATTTATTTTTAGGACAGAGAATTCTATTGGCCACGAGAGAAAGTTAATTTTTAAAATTTTTGAAATAAGACAATTAATTTATTATCAAATAATTTACAGCTCTTTTAACCATTATTATTATCACTTATTCAGCCATAATCGCTCCGCTCAAACTGCATTCTTGAACTGGCCGCAGTTATTTCCATCTCCCATAACCACTCTAAAGCTTATTTTGCTGATATTACTATATGCGATCTGTTGCAGATCTTTACAAAATTACTTGAATGATCAGTCTCTCAAATCAGAGTTTCATAATCTGCAATCGATCCATTTCTTCACATTCAATCCAATTTCAAAAGAAATTTCTCCATACACAGATCTACTTCAGTTTCCATGGCATCTTCTTCCCAACAAGAACCCCACCCCTCACTATATCCGTACAACGACGACGATCCTCTGCCGGCCGTAGACGACGAATCGAACGACGGCGACGAGGTACAGCAGGTCAGAATCGAGGCGATTCCACACTACCTTGATCTCGATGCTTCCGCTTCCATCTCTTCACTCTACGTTTTAATTAAACTGGTTGCGCCGCCGATGTCTGAATTCCGGCAAGAGCTCCGGCATGCTCCGATCGACCTCGTTATAGTGCTCGATTCGAGCCAATGCAGATACGACGACTCGTATATGGTTCACATCAAAGATGCACTTCATTTCGTTATACAGAATTTAGACCCCTTCGACCGGCTTTCAATCGTGTCGTTCGCGAATCGAGCTCGGATAATTTTTCCATTGCGCGAAATGAATGGCAGCGGGCGAAAACTTGCGGCGGCAGCAGCCGAGTCGATCGTCGTGAAAGGCGGCTCGGCGAATCTAGCCGACGGGTTGAAACAGGGGATTCGAGTTCTTGAGGAAAGGCGCGACAACAATCAGTTTGCTAGTATTATACTTTTATCCCACGCGCCGCAAGCGTCGCCGATTCGCGACAAACATTTTCAGTTTCCTATTCACGCCTTCGGCATTGGCGGAGACCATGACGCTGTCGCAATGCACGCGGCGTCGGATAAATCCAAGGGCAGCTATACGTTCCTCGAGTCGTATGCAAGAGTTCTTGGAGCGATTTCTAGCTGCATGGGAGGTCTTCTCAGCGTCGTCGCGCAAGATCTTCGCGTAACCGCAGTGGTGACCTCACCGGTAGAAATCAAAGAGGCGTACGCCGGAGGGTTCGAAGGAATCAAGTCCGGAAAAAACCATCAAGTTACAATATGCGCCGGGGACTTCTACGCCGATCAGAAAAAGGAATTCGTCGTCCGTATAGCGATCCCTCCGCAGTTTTGCGAATACAACGACGGATTTGGAAAGGCGCCGGTGGTGAATGTCGTGTGTTTATACAACGATTTGGTGTCGCAATTCTCGGTGTTGGTAAATTGCCCCTTACTCGAGCTAGACCAGGCAACGACGACGTACTTGCCGGACGAAGAATTTCTACATGGAAATGAGATTCATGCATTCTTTGCCTGCCTTATTTGCACACATCGGATCGAACTTGCTCGATCGTATCTAGAGGAGGGAAATGTACGGAATGCGAAGGCGATTATTTCAAAAACGATACGTTTCCTCAGCTCCTTATCTTTCGCTGATTGTGATGATCGATGCCGTTGGGCTTTGGCATCGCTGCGCGATATTCGACGAAGAATAGGAAGTCTGGAGAAGTACAAAGCCAGGGGACGAGCTTATATGCTCGCGACTCTAAGTTCGCTCAAGTTTCAAAGGGCGACGACAAGAGGCGATCGAATTCCCATAGCATTCACGATGCGAGAAAAAGCTTCCGACGAGTACGACGCAGCTCCTAAAAAGATGAAAGACAGTTTTATTACCGACGGAAATTGCATCGGAGATTGGATGATTTCTAAGGACTGATGCTGAAAGTATGGATCATATAAGTTCGTTGTTGTTGTTAGCTTTTGGTCTTAACATTTTTGTGTCCTGATCTTGTTTTTCGATTGTCTATAGCTTTCGCCATGCAGCCATTGTTGTCATCCCTGCAAGCTTTCCATTTACAGAATAGTAAAGCAACTTTTTCATCGGAAGCAGTCTGGATTACAGTGAAGAATGGTTGTTATAGATGATCTATGGAAGGATTTAAAACATCTTAGTATGTTTACCATTGTTGAGCATAATATTGATGATTTTAGTTTGTTTGAAGGATTGGGAAATAATTACACTACTCATATAAATTTTTTCTCAAAAAAATATAAAATCAAACGCTTATTTTTTATTTTTTATATTATACTTAAAAATCAATTTTACATTCAAAACATCAAATTAATATTTATTTATATCACGCTACTATTCCAATTCAAATTTTTTACTTAATCTTAATTCAAAAACAAACACACCCCCTGTATTCATATTATTTTGGAGGATTTTGAATTACTCAAAAAGTGAAAGGATTTATTATGTCGAAATTCAAATGAAACCATTTCTTAAAAAGAATTAGGGTGTGTTTCTTTAGGCTGCATGATAAAATTTGGGTTTGAGTTTTTGTTTTTATTTGAATTTCCAGTTAAGTTTGAATTTTGATATTTTTTTTTATTTATATTTTGATACGATTGATTTGATGAGTAATAAATATAATAATATAAATATGCATTAATTTGTATAATTTAATTATAAATTTATATTATATCTATATATATTTCTAAATTTATTAAATTATACATATTATAAAAATTTATATTTGTAATTTAAATTTAAAGAAAAAAAAAAAAGCATGTCCGCTCTATGCAATGCACAGAACTTGTCGGGGCAGTAAAAGCTGTTGGCACCTAAACATAGGCTAACAGTGGGCAAAAAAACATAAGAACAAGGATAATATTTTACTCTTATTTTCAGCCTAAATAAAAATTGAGGGGTGAATCAATTATGTTATAGTTATAGATTGAACCAGTAAAGCATCAGGTGCATTATCACATAGCACATACCGTAATTAATTTTAACTCATTACATACTTTTATACAACACATAAATATATATCGTGTATAATAAAGACAAATAATGCAGCATGGTGCCATTTTTCCAAACCAGCCAATCTCCCTTGAAAAATTCCAACTCCATTTGGATAAAAGTTTGGAAAAAAATTTTGATTTGAAGATATTTGAATTAAAATTATTTGGGATAATTATTTTTTATAAATATTACTCCATTCGTCCCACCGAATTAGACCCATTTTTCTTTTTTGGATCATACCACCAAATTTCTATGGGATCCTCTGTCTCAAAAATAAATCATATCACTCTATATGGTGTGTTAATGAGACAGAGGAACATGTCCGCACCAATTAGTCTCGTTTTCTCTTAAAGTAATAATTAATTATTAATTATTTAAACTAAAACTTAACAATATTTTATAACTATTAATACTCATAATTTGTTTATATTAATATGATATTTTGATTTTTAAATTAATTTTTAATGTAATAAAAAAATTAAGTAATTGATTTGAAATATTGGAAAAAAAAAATAGTGAATAGTAAATCCGAATTAAAATTTTATTTCTTCTAAAAAAGATTACATATTTGAATTTTAAATTTTTATATTTATTTGATTTAGTATAAATATAAATTAATCGTGATATTTAAATGTTATTTTGATTGATATTTTGTGTGAAAAATAAAATTTGAATTTGAATTTAATTTCTTCTAAAAAAATAATTAAAGAAAATAAATTCATCCACCCAGTTTATCTCCATCTCTTCTTAGTATAGAAGAAAATCAATCAAAATATTTTTAGGAGTAACATTTTTGGAAATTATTATTTAAAAAATTGCTTAAATTAAATTTTTTTTATAGTTACACTATGTTATGTTGGCTAATTACATTGAAATTACAAAATTTCTTTATTTGGTTTTATTATCTAATTGTTTTACTCCCACCGTCTTATAGCTAAGTATTATATTAATTATTATATCAAAACGTATTACAAATCAAGAAAAAATTGTAAAAATATTTCTATTAGTGTCTTATAATACTAATGTAATGACATTTTTATAAAAAATTATACAAATATAAGGATATTTTTAACGTTAAGTACCATGATGCAAAAGGAAAATGATACTTTGTTACGAGACGGAGGGAGTATTATTTTATAGTTGGTATAATATTTTCTTTAGAATTAATTTTAATACATAAAATATATAATATTAAAAAATTAAACAAATATAATTTCAATTTTTATTTCTTTATCTAATACAAATAATTAAAATAAAAATACATTACAAATATTAAATCAAATCAAAATAATTAACTATACAATAAAATACTCCTTAAACTTCGAGTGTTTGTCCGGAGGATTTTATAAAATTTATACTCCCTTAATCCACCATCAATCTATCCATTTTGTCATTTTAGTCTAACAAATGTATTCATTTTTTTTTTTTAATAAATGTACATTTCACTAAAATATAAAATTAATCCACCTTTTATATAATATTACACAAATGTTATCAAGTAACACCATTTAATACCATAAATGTTAAAGGGTATAATAGTCTTTATATATATTAATTATACCGCATATCAATATAATATTAATATAATAAAATCTACCTACAAAAAGTAAACTGATAGATACGCGGTGCGGTGACAGAGGAAGTATTATTTATTCAATTTTTTTTTCCAAAAATATCAAATCAAATACTTATTTGTTATTTTTATATTATATTAAAATTTAATTTTACATTCAAAATATCATAACAACACTTATTTATATCACATTATATAACTATTCAAATTCAAATATTTTACCATTTAAATCTAACTCAAAATCCAAACCCCAAAACAAACACACACAACCAGGTACTTCTTGAAAAAAAAAAAAAAGAAATTAATTCCAAAAAGAGTGTATAATAAATGAAGTGATTGATACTGTACCACTAAAGTATTACTCTATCTATCTCATATACTATATTCACGTTGCCGATTTCATCTATCTTATGTCTTATGTTATTATTTATTTTTTTAAAAAATAATTACATATTTTAATCTCATTTAAAATTCTCTAATTTATAATTTTTAAATTTTAATTAAAATAATTATTTATCTTAATATATAATTATTTATATTATAAGATAATTATTTTTACTAATATATTATTATTTATTTAGTAATTATATTTATTCTAAATTTTCGTATTTACGTTAACCAAAATATGGTACATCGGACAAAATGAGTAATATAATATTTATAGATCAATGAATTAAATTAAATTTTACAAAGATATTAGTATAAATATAATCAACATATATTTATTTCATAAAAAATATTACATAATATACAAAAATAAAATATACTTCCTCCGTCCCGTCACAGACGACCCAATTTTCTTTTTGGTATGTCCCCGGTCTCACAAAAGAGGACCAAGTTTCATTTTTGGTAAGTTTATCAATTTTAAACATACTTAACAAATATAAATCAATTTAATTAAATTTTTAACATCGTAGACCTACTCAAAACCCATTTCTTTCTATTTCTCCTCAATTAACAAATATTTTTATCCATCTTTAAATCTCCTTATTTTTTATAAAATTAATTTATGGTAATGATAAATAAATAAATATAGTATTTTTTTTTATTTATTTGTATTATATAAAATTTTGTTATGTACAAAATGATATTTAAATTGCATATATTTTATTGAGATATAATTTTAAAAATATTTAAAATACCAACAGTACTATATATACCAAAAATAATAATATATTATCATAACTTATTATTAATAACTTAATAAGCTACGTGTCCTAAGTTTTTACAGTCATGTTTTTCTCAAAAATATTAATACATATTTTAATATTCTTTACACGATCTATTTTTTTTTTTCAATATTCTCATAAAATAAATACACATATTAATAATTTAACATAAAATTTATTTAAAAGTTCAAATTGGGCTTAAATGTTTTTTTTTATTCAGCCCAATTATAAAACAGATAAAATTAGAAGCCCATTTTTAAATATCTAGAAATTTTGGTTCGGAGTGCCGTTAGATTTTGGTTTCATCTTCTCCTTCCCTCCTCGTTTGAAATTTTCACCGATCCCCGCCCCGCCGGCCGGCCACCGCACCAGCGGAGGAGACTCGTAATGCGAAGTACGTGTTTGGAAGTGTGTGGAGTGAACATCTGAAGCCAGTGATTCGAACGAAGGATACATTTGGGAAGCGCGACGATGTCGAAGACTGGAGGTTTTCTCATCCTCGATTCAAATGAGACCACTGCCGCCGCCGCCATAATCGGAGGTAAGTTCTGTTTTCGTTTAGTATTTCTGTATTTATAGTTATACGGCGGTGAATTTCTGCTAGATCTGGAGCTTATTTGCTCTAACCATACATGCGAAGCCCGTTCATTCTCGTGCCTAAAATTTAGGGTTTTTTCTTCCTCCGTTCCATTTTCGTCTGCTCAATCAATACTTTTGTGTGCACGCGTAGGCTCTCGGTCGAATGATTTTCCCTAATTTTCGGTTTGCTTAAGAAGCTTTCCTCGCCATCTTAGGGTTCTTGTGTTCTGCTGTATACTAAGTTTGAGGTTTTTGATTTACACTAATGCTGTGCACGGCCACAACCTCCAGAAGAAGCAGAAATTGCAGCTAAGCCATGCCCTCAAAATTTGGTGCCGAAGAAGCTGGTGGACATTAGCAACTTACCCCCTAAACACACGGGCCTAGTGCAGGAAGGTAAACCCCAACCCGTACCAGTAACCATCAAAGACTATATAGAACAGCTACAGAAGGTTAGTCAGTTTGCAGTGTTATTCGCCATCTTTTCATTTTTTATGGATCAAATATTTGATTTTCTGCTGCTGTTTGTTTGTTTCTGTGGTTCAGGATAACATGGCTTTATCTAATGTTTTGGCACAGAAAAAGTATCCTTTTGACGAATTACGTTTACCTATTAAGCGTCTGGTAGTTTAGATTTTTCTTGCATCTCCTTGACACTGTTTTTCCATAGCAAAATCATTGCGGAGAGAGGAAATGAACTGGAGAAATTGAGGGCGAACATGATTAAAGTGCAGGAACAGAATCGAAAATTAGCTCTTTCACATACCCAAATGCTTGCAGTTTGATCCCTGACTTAAAACTTTTTTGTTTCTTAATATTTTGATTTCCCGAACCTTTTTCAGTTATGAACTTTATTTATTTTCAGGATGTGAATACAGGTAAAGATCAGGTAATTGCAATTGTGCCCTTTTGGTAATGCTGCCGTTAAAACTTTATGTGCTCGGTCCAGAACTAATGTCTTTCATAAAACCCCTAATTTATTTCAGTTGAAAGCATTGAGACATGAGCTTGGATGTAAAACCGGTCTGCTCAAAGCTAATAATACAGATTTTGTCGAGGCATGTGTAATTTTCAGGACAACTTCTCGATCAAATTTCTCATAGTTTTTTTCTCTCTAACTAATTAGCATTTTGTTTACTCAGAACAATACTGGCGAGGGACAATGCCAGAATGCAAATGTCGAGGTAACCGGGCTTAAGTGATTTACTTGTCTCACTCCAATTGTATTGTTTAGGATCTATAACTCGTGGTGGCTTGTGTTTAACGTTCTTTTTAATTTAATTTATTATTATTTTTTTCTTGTATGTGAACTTCGGTTTACTTTCTGAGTTCAAAGCCATGCTTGATTTGGTTGCTTTGGACCTCCACAGATGAAATCGATAAAATTGCAGAAAGAACAACTCTCAGAGAACAGCGACGAAGATGAACCGAGGAAAAATGCCAAAAGGAGATTGAGATCACACAGTGAGCAGATCATTGTCAAAATGTTTGTTCTATAACCCATTGATTAATTTTCTCACCTCCTTCCCATCCCCTTACGTCATTTACAGGTTTGGGCGCGTCTGAGTCTGCTCAACCTCAGGTCAATGCCGGAAACAAGAAAAGGTTTTTGCTTTTAAATAGCGATTATGGATTTAAGATATGATGTTGTAAGATTATATGATGAAATTTATTTGATTCAATATCTGCTCTATCAGGCCACTTACAAGAAGGCAATCTGCTCGATTCAAGGCTGACGAATCGAAGCATGCCACGGATCTGTCTGATTCGGACAGTCCCAAAGCAGTCCCAGAAAACAGGCCACCATCCAACAGTGCAGATGTTGATGATGATGGGAGACGAGAGTCCCTAGAGGTTGGAAGATCATCTCTATGCCGACCACTTCGCCAAGCTGCTAAAAAGGTACATTCGTACAAAGAAATTCCTTTAAACGTCAAAATGCGCAGATCTTAGTGAGAAAACTTAGCCCTCGTAAAAACTTCTACATATTTGATAAATCACCATTCCTTACATTGTTGTTATAAATAGAGCATCGTTGGTTGTCATGTTGCATTGTTGTGATAATGTCTCTTGTACTATTTGTTGGCTGGCTACCTATCGACATTATCTTATTGTATGTATGTATATATACACACACATATATATGTCTTTTTAACAAAGAACCAATCATGAACTTGAGGAGTGAGATTCAGAGAGGGTAGAGACCTCTTGTACCACTCCAGCCGGGTCAAACCGGAGTGTCACCGCTACGCCCACACTGAAAAGTTCATTCATCGACCAATGGAGCCGTGTATTGTGGCGTTAAGGCTAAATACAAACAACTAAATAAGAATTTAAAATTAAAATTCAGATTTTTAAAAAAATTTTAAAATTCGGAGGTATTCAATCCTTATTTTTAAAAGTACTTTACAATTTTGAAGTATTCAATAATCCATAAATTTTTAAAGTCTATAAATTTTATTTGATATTGATGGACAATTATGAAAAATTTGTACAGTAAAAAATGTCCAAAGAGATTTTGATGGATTATTATTATTATTATTATTATTATCATCATCATCATCATCGTTGATGAAATATATAAATTATAAATAATATGATAATATTTATTAATAATATTGTAAATATTTAATAAAAAAATTTAAAAACAAAATATATTAGCAAATTATTATTAATTTTTTTTTTGAAAATATGTATTTTAATTTTATATTATAAATATAATATTTAAAAAATAATATTATCATAATAAATATATATTATTGTCTTATTTTATTTTTATTTATCGAATACACTATATTGTAGGTAAAATTAAATTGTTAGTTATATTTATTTACTTTCTAATTTTTTTTAATTTCATTTTATCCCAAAAATTGTAAATGCAGTTTTTTATTTTATCTATATATATATTTTATATAAAAAATTATATAAATAAGAATAATAATAAATATAAAAATTGATATATCGAAGGATAATATAATAAAAACTATAAAATTAGAAATACTAATATACAAAATAATATTATATATGTTACAATATTTCTACGTCATTAATAATTATTTATTTTATTTTATAAAATATAATAATATATAATAACTTTAATTATTAATATATTATATCTATAAAACTTGTGTTTACATAAGTTTGTATAATTATAAAAAGTAATGAAAAAAATTATTTTATAATCCTATCAAATCGACATAAATCTACAAATTTTTTTTTTTATTAAATATGTAAAAATCCATCTAAATTAATTAATAAAATCAACAGAAATCCATAAATTTTTTAAAATTAAAAAAAAATTCAATAAAACCTCAAATAAATACACCCCCTTAATTTTAGACACCACAATGTCCAAAAAAAACTTCTCACAAATGCAGAATTGAACAAGATGGTGCAACATTTACATAGAATCTGCGGAGAAGGAGAGGAGCCGGCCAGAGAGTTTTATAAAAACAACACTTTTATTAAACTACTTTGTACGGACAGTTTGAAGGCATTGAAAAACTGCAAAAAAGCAATGGGAAAGGGTAAGGCTGTGACCGTATCTAGAAAGAAGAGTGTGATTAGAAATGATAAGAAATAACCGAATACAAATGCAATAGAAAGATTATTCTTAAAGCTAAAGGTCTTCAATCATAAATCTAGCAAATGGGCTATAAATGAGTTATAATGTTCAAAATCAGTTGTACACAAATGAATTAAGGAGAAATATGTAAGACATCAGACAGATGCAATCAGACCTGAACTCATAGATGCTAACAAACTAGTAAGGTTATATTTTCCAATAGAAGCCCTTGATATTTATGAGTGTATTGAAAAGTTTTATTTCAAAGTATGCATAATATAGTACACATTGATGAGAAATTATTTTCTTTGACAAAGATTATACATCGATTTTACTTGACCCTTACGGAGAAGGATCCACATAGAACTTGCAAAAGCAAAAACAATTCATCACAAAAATTATGTTCATGTGTGCAGTATCTCGACCTATATAGGATGAGGATGTGACCTGATGTTCGAGGGAGAGCGGGTGAATTCCGAGTACACTCTTCTCCGTAATTGGATGGAGATGTGGCTCAATCACTTATTGCGGTTTGCTCGTTTGCACCTAGACCCCGATCCTTCCTTTCATGATCGAACTCTGATTCGCGCAAAGAGTTCATTTTTTGATAAAAAAATAGAAAATTTACCATTTATAGAAGAAGTCCCAGCAAAAAATTCAAGCAAAAGTTGAGTGGCCAGTACATTATAAACTAAACCGGTTCAATCAGTAACAAATTAGATTACTAAAAGTTGTTTGATTCATCAAGTTAGCTCGATTTTCCTAGTTGAAAGAAATAATTTTTTTTAAGGAAAACATAGTGTTAATATCTTATATTCTCTTATTTAGAATAGAAGATCTCTAATTCGTTGTTACATTTCAGTTTACGTATGTACCTAAACTTTACTATGCAATGAAAGTGTATTTGCCTATATGCAGATTATCCTATCAATAAAGAAAAAACAAACCGTCAATCAAACAAAATATATATTCATACAACAAGACAATGCAAAGTCACATATAAAAGGGATGATACAAGCTTTGTTCATGCCATTACTAGTGATGGTTTTAACATTGTTCTTATTCAACGACCGTCTAATTCTCCTGACACGAGTGTCAATAAATTATGATGATTTCGAGCAATCAAGAGCTTACAAACAAAAAAATCATATAAGAATATCAATGAACTACTAGATGCAGTCAATACAAAGAATTGACACCATACTATTTAAATAAGATTTTTTTAAATTAACGAAGTTACATGATTGAAGTACTGAAGGCAAAGGGGGACAACTCTACAAGATCCCATATATGAAATAAGACAGCTTGTTGATAGTCGGAAATCTCCCAAATCACCTAAATGTTCCCATGGAATAAGTGCATGAATGCATTCAGTACCTAGTTGAAAAAAGTGAGGTAAATGGACTTGAAAGGGTTATGAATGATTTAGGATATTAGAAGTAGGAGAGCGTGTATGAAAAACTCGTGTGGAAAATCAGTTTCTTTTAAAACCTTTGACAACAGTTTAGTGCAGGTATTGTTTTGTAAATGGTTTGAAAACTTTATTTTGGACAGGATGAATACATATATATATATATGTAGCGATGTAGGAGTAATCTCTATAATGAAATGAAATGTTCGAAATGTTTATTTTCACAATTTTAACTCAAGTTAATGCTCAAGAAATCGAGTTTATGAGTAAAAATATGATTACTTTGAGTATATTCAATAAGATTAGAGGCAAGAAGGTGAACATCAATCCAATCCAGCAATAATATACTACTAGAATCGTTCACTAATAGTGAGCAGAAGGCATGTATATACATTATCGTGACATAACAAGAACATATTGAGAGACATCCAGGGTGTAACATAATGAAAGTAAGACGTAATAACATTCACAACAACCAAAGTAAGGTAAAAGCAAACCATAACACTTAAACATGACATGAATTGCAATATACTCAAAATTAATCCAACAACATTGATTGATGAGTAAAAGTTGGGTTATATATCACCAAGGTCCTCGTAAGAAACGTGTTCTTCAGGGCGATCATAATCATGGTTCGCCGTCGCGGATCGGCCTTTACCACTCCAGATACGTCACGGTGTATCGGTCAAATATTGGTCAATATAATTTTTTTATATTTATTTTTATTTTAAAAAATTATGATAAGTCATTAAAATATATCAATTCATATAATTAATTTTAAAGTATATAATATTAACAAATATATTATAATTGATAGTAAATTAAAATTAAAATCTTGTCTAAAAAATAATTTTAAATAATATATTTACAATTAATTATAAATTATTCTAAAATATTAATTCTAATAAAAATTAATTTTTACAAATTAAATAAAAATTAAATACAATTCAAAATAAAATAGTAAAATCTATCAATTAAATAAATAAATTAATTAAAATAACTAATTTTTTTCCCTACACACACGCGTTCTTCCTCCCATCTTCCTCCCCGATTTTCTTCCCCAACCTTCTTCCTCTTTCCAAACCTTTTCAACCACAGACGCTCCTTATCCACGCAAACAAACGCAGGTACTTTACATTTCCCAAGTTCCAGATTTCAGAAATAACAACAATTACACTCCCAGAATGATAAAAATGAAATTTCATAAAGACTTTTTAAAATATCGGATATTTTGCCCGTTCCGGTTCCGGATCGGCCGGCCGATCCGGCGAACCATGATCATAATAGATAAGTAAGTTTCTCCACACATTATGCTCAAACTCACGCTCATCCTCTGAGTCAGGGACAAACCCAAACAAAAATCAAACATCAGCACCATCGGTAGCATATCCAACGCAACCATCAAGTCCCGCGTCCATTTCTGGCAAAGCTCGAGGACGAAGGGAAGTTACAAGCGCTGCTTTGCAAAACCGAGCACCGACGTTGATATCCAAATCCAAATCGAAGGGCACCTCCATGTCCGGCACCCACCCACTGTTTCCTTCGCTCCCTCCCAGCTGTTTCCCGGAAAATATGAACATATCAGTGTCACCGGAAAGGTATGAGAAGCGGGTGCTTAGATTTCATTCAATTTAGGGATGAGAAAAGAAGAATAGCCACAGTTAGGGTAGCGAGAGATCAAAGTCGGGGTAGGACTTGTTGGAACACATGGAGTCGAAAGGACAGTCAGTACCACTGGACGAAGCGACGGTGATGGCATATTAGGGTTTTCGGACATCAGGAAGAGAGAAGTGGAGGGAGAGAAGTGCGAGACGGTGGGTGATGTAGATTTTTAAATATAATTATAATAAATTAAGAATTTTAATTTTAAATGAAGTTTAAAGTGGGTTAATTTTTGCCAAATATGAAAAGTGACAAAATATTTAGAGTTATACAAAAAAAAAAAAAAAAAAGTGAAAGGGAGGAAGTATATACTTAAAATTAATTTTTGAAGTATAATCATATAAATCAAATAAAATAAATAGATAAAAAAAACTAAATTATATTACTTAAAATTTAATAATAACAACAACAACAAATACTAGTTTAAGATTTTCCCTCATGCTAAGCAACTTTATTCTTGATTGGGATATAAACTTCATGAAAACATAGTAATCGAACATTCTTTCAAACAAAAACACA